AAAATTACCGAAATATATTATGCATCATTTGTTATGTTGTCTGAGTTTATGTTTTAAAGTTAGCAAACTTCGATTTTTGTCTAAAAATCATTATTAAAGCTGTTTTAAGAGTTAAAAAGCAATGTTTTCAGTATATTGCGTTTGGTCATGATAACCAATTACAATATATTACAATAACAAGCATTAAATGTCGTTGCTATAGACACATATGGCGCAGGGTTTGGTAGATTATCAAAAATTGAATATATTTAATATCAATTAGCGTACCTTTGACCACATGGCTGAAGAATATTCTACGATAGTATTGGTAGCAACTTCCATCGCTGTAATTTGCAGAATGTACAGAGAAATGGAGCCCATGGGTTGTGGAGTACTGTACCCCATGTAAAGTGATTGGATCTGGGGGCAATTATGGATGCTTTAGGAAATGTATATTTAAAAAGGTATGCCAACCATGCAACGATCGTGGTTATCATCGCGGGAAGAGAACCACTGGCGATCTTGAACGTGTCCGAAGAGTCGGAGGAGGAGGGCCGTCGTGCAACGGAGGTGCAATATAGAGTGGAAAGAGAAGAGAGAAACGTGTCAGTGTTAATATTTGGTTACCTTAATGCCGAGAAGAGTAAGTATTTGTAGAGTAGACTTCTTTTAACCAATGGTCAGTCTGGAATAACATTACAACTTGAAAACATAAAGTTAACTTAACATATAGATCCATGGCTTAACATATCGTTCCTCCATGATGTGATTCGAAACTAATCGTAAGATATATCTAAAATAAATGTGCTTCCTTACCTGTATATTATGGCAGGTAGACAACATAGCAAAACTACGAACTCTGCGTTTGTTTGTGTATTTGAATTAATTAAATATAGTATGCATACATGGAAAGTTTTCAGTACACATACACAAACAATGTTACTGCATTACATCTTGAAATATACACATCTTGCAATATTATTGTTGATTGATAATGGTTTTGAATAATTTTAATACTGAATTAAATTTTAAAATAGTTGTTTTATTTTACAATTAAGAGCACCTCGTCAAATCTTTCTGGCGTTTCCATGTATAATGGTAAACATCGAGCTATAAATGTAAAAAAATATAATGTCTGATTTGGGAGAAAACAAAGGAGTTTAGGCTTATCTGTATGAGGTTATAGTGTACATGACTTCAGCAAACACAACCGTTTTTGATATAGGCCTAGATCTTATTTTATTAAATTAAGCATTTTTGAAAGTGTAAATTAGTTAATTTAGATCCATTAGCGATGAACTGCAGTTAACAACATGTTTTTTTTAATTTATATTTTTTAACAATTCATATTTCTTCAAAGTTTTTGATTACTGATAGTGTCTTTATGTTTTAGAATTCCATTCGATGATGACACACTGTGAGGACCCTGGGGCAATAGTTAAATAATAACAATCAAATCACAGGGAAAATACGTTTAACTAAAAACAAAATCAGGGCCGTCACTTAATGGGGGGAAATAAATAATTAACAATTGGTAGCGTGACAAGTAAATATATGGGGGCAAATGAAATAAATACAACAACAATGAATGGTAGCGTGGAAATTTGGAAAGTAAATTGGAATAAGCGTAATTTAAATCAATGGTAGCGTGGAAGTTAAAATAGTTAAATTAAAGTGAATGTTCAATTTATATGAAAGGGCACTAAAGTGTATAATATGAAATGAATGAAGAAACAAATAGATTAAAGTTTAATAAATCTATTGTAATTAAAATAATACTCAAAAATACTAGTACAAATACAATATTACAAAAACACACCAGAATACATCAAGTGGCTTACCCATACTGTCGTTTCCTTTGTTCAATGATATCCAACATGTTTTAGCTTATGTCTAAAAATGTGAAGAAACCAAGTGTTCCTGTCAAGGTCTGGTGTTAAAGTGTCTCTTGACCAAAAGAAACAGACAGTTTATATTCTAAAAGTTGCCAAATTACCATATTATTGCACTGTACCTGGCCCTGGGACCAGGCACTGAACAAAGGGATGATTCTTACAGCTAAGGGATTATCTAAGAAAGCCAGACTGTAACTAATTGTCTATTCAAAAAGTTTGAATAGAGTTACAATGCAAAACTTTATGAAGGAAAAATGTGAAACGAAAATGTAACTTTAAATATTAAAACATGGAAATAACATTGCTATAATTAAAACTAAATATAATACATTGATATTAAGAAGGATTTAACACGATGACAAGTGATCAGAAAACAAGGGTATACCACCTTTGATCACGGGTCATCACATCACTTCCCCTTTAAAAACAGGTTCGACCCGAACCTCTATAAAAACAAACTATAGTTCATAAGTCTATGAGCTGTTAACTTAGATAACAAAATGTTCACGTTATTTAAAATCCACAGGATAGATATCCAAGAAGATACTAAATGTTCATGGTTCTCCATTTAATTGTAACATGGAGTACACCATCTTGCAGTTGCTCATCTTAAGCTAGATTTGTCATGGAGTTGTTCCAGGCATATATAATCTGGTACCACCAAGTGTCCAAAGTTTCAGCCACTGTTGATTCCTCTAGCCATCTTCAGGATTTGTTGAATATGTTGGTCGGACAAACTTCTTCATCACAGCAGAGGTAGTCATGTCCTTCTCGGTTCACACGGTTCACGGAGACAAGGTTCACAGGATTCCACTACTGGATGGGCATGATGAGTGACACAAAGCAATCTCTATGAAATTAGGGGTAAATTCAATAGAGTTTGTCATGGACGGGTTTTTGTCCATGGTGTCACTCATTCCCAGTTGGGAAAACATTCCATCCACCAACAATTCGATCCACCTCAGGAATCAATTTCAGTAACCAGGTAGCGAGCAGTCTTTCAACTTTCCAAGGGTCAGGAGGCAAATTCATTTAAATTTCTCCCAGAACAAGGTTGGTGTAAATCAGGGTCAGGTTCTTCAAATTTATGGGCAAATGACTGGGGACTAAAGCTTCCTGGGTATCAATACTGGCAGTTTTGGGCACACAACAGGGCCAAATACCAAACCAGCTATCCATTTTCACAGTTGGGTCATGTTCATTTCAAAAGGTTCAGAAGTGCCTGTAGACCAAGGCATATCGGGACAATCATCAGATTAATCGGTTCCAGGACTAACAATTCAAACAGATTGGGTCATTGTCACATCAATGTCAATGCTGAGATGATTTATAACAGGGCTTTCCTTGGCTTCCTCGAGTTCATCAGTTGGGCTGCTGAGAGCGAGTATATGTCCAAGTGCAACCTAGGGGTCAGAATTATGGCAGTCAACACTTGGGAACAAGGAGAATAGGGGGAGCTGGAGGCTCCTCGATGGGTTTGGCATCTCCAGGGTCAAGTTCATGGTCAGGGAAACAGTAACATTTTCATATGACAAACAGTCAACTTTCCCATGTTCAGGAAGCAAATCACTCCCTTCAGCAATAACACTGAGGCAAATCGGGTCACGGGCCTCCTCTACAGGACAAGATAAATGACTGGGAACAACAGGGTCCCTAAATAGCAGTTCAGGGCAAATAACAGGGTCAACCTGGTCAAGAGTCAACGGAGTTGCTTTCTGCAACTCATCCAAGTGTTTGGCGACCATTATATCAACAAAATCATCGCTGCTATCAGTCAGGGGAACATCAGCCTCAAGGGTTTTACAAGGGTCTGGACATGGGGGAATAGAATCAACTTCACACTGTTTCTTTGACAAATCCTCTCGGGCAGGGGGCAAAAGGTCATGGATCAACTCCCCAGAAGCAATGGGTATACTTTTATATAACGTCACTGGCTGGGGGCAATTGTAGCCACTTTGGATTTTAAAACTGGTGGGCCTTTGTGGCTTGGATGCTGAATCGAGGCCCACCGACTCAGCACATTCTAGTTTCCCGAATAAGTTGAGGCATTGGTCTTAAGGGCAGGGCAGTCAGACACTACGTGGCCATCAACACCACATTTGAAGCAAACTCGGGCTCCAGTGACCTTGGAATTTGGATGTCTGTGAAGACAATCAAATATGCTGTGCTCCCGAGTATCACATAGTTTACAATACTGGGCACGTGTGGGCTTGGACATGGGTCGTCGGTCAACCTTCTCCTTCAGGGCCTGGGCAATGGATTGGTGAAGAGCCTCCATCTGTTTTTCCATCATCTTAGAAAACTGGGAAATCAAACTCATTGGGGATTCAGATGAAGGGCTTTGGACATGGGCCTCAGTTGCTCGAAGCTCAGGATCATGAGTCGCTCGCAAACGTTTCTTCCGACCTTTGAAAAAGGATTCGTATTGTAGGGCCATGGTAAGGGCCTGGTTAAGAGAAGTGGGCTTGGCGAATGAAAGTTTTGCCTCAAGATCCACATCATTTAAGGCATCAGTAAATGACTGCATTGCTTGGTTCTCAATACCAGACTTAGGCATACCCAGGCTACCATATGCGTTGCAGGCAAGTTTTCTAACCTCATGGGCTAACTTCTCAAGGGGTTCATCAGGGCCTCGGAGTCTATTTTTCAAAATGGCTTGGGCATTGTCACTTTGTTGAGGAGGCTCATAGTTCATCTGCAGGGCATTGATGATAGAGTCAAGGTCAGGATCAACCCCTTCTTCTATATCATCAAGAACATTGGCTGCCTCGCCCTCAAGACTTCTGACCAAATAGATCGCAGCCTCATCACTATCCCAACCATTATTTTTGGAGACTAAACGGAATTGGATCAAAAATGCTGTCAAACTACATTTTCCATCGAATTTGGGGGCCCTCATCTCCCGTTTCTTATTGTAGATTGGTTTCGGACTTTGGATTTTTGACTCACTCCCTCCTGAAGAACTATTATCACACCATTTGGGAAGGTCAGTGGAACGTTTCTTGTATTTCTTCGTCTGCAGTAGTGAATCGACCTTACTCAAGGGATCCCCGGGGGCATAAGACATCTGTTCAAATGGGTCAGAATGGGCTGTTTCATACCCCATTGAAATTGACTGGGAAGGCACTAGGTTATGGGATTCCTGCCTCTTTGTGTGCGGAGAAATGGGGAATGGTGATTGAAGGGCATAGGTCTAGACTTAAGATGCCCCTTAGATCTGGGAGTTATACTGGATCTGGACTGTTGATCAGATACCCATGACATGGTATCGGATTCCCTCCCAGTATATCTTGAACATAGGGGAGCTCCAGAGAACTCATCCCTTGCATATTCCCTCCCAGTGTGCATTGGGCTGAGGGGAGCTCCGGAGAGCTCACTCTGGATTTTTCCCCAAAAAGAGTGCCTTGGGCTTAGGGGAGCTTTAGAGAGCTCACCCCTGAGATAATAATCACCATGATGCAATTGACTAAGGGGAACTCGTGAGAGCTCGCCCCTTGCATATTCCCTCCCCGTGTGCCTTAGATGCAGGGGAGCTCCATTGAACTCCCTCCTCGAGTATATTTCCCCATGAGGCAATGGGCTTGGGGAAGCTCGGGAAGGCTCATCCCACGGATTTGTCCCCCCTGGGTGTTTTTGAAAAGTGAGAGTTCTTGCGGGCTTACCACTTGGGTGCTTCTTTCCAGGATGCATCAAGCCCAGGGGAGCTTGGAAAGGCTCACCCTGCGAAAATTCCCCCTTAAAATGCTCTTGGTTTAGGGGAGCTTGAGAAGGCTCACCCGATGAATTGGCTTTCTCTGGGTATGTTTGAGAAGTGGGAGCTCTTTCGAGCTCACCACGGGGGTATTTCTCCCCAGTATATCTAGAAACGAGGCGAGCTTGGGAAGGCTCACCCTCCGATGATTCCCTCTGTAAACGCCCTTGGCTTAGGGGAGCTTGAGAAGGCTCACCCCATGAATTGGCTTCCCCTGGGTATGTTTGAGAAGTGGGAGCTCTTTCGAGCTCACCACAGGGGTATTTCTCCCCAGTATATCTAGAAACGAGGCGAGCTTGGGAAGGCTCACCCTCCGATGATTCCCTCTGTAAACGCCCTTGACTACGGGGAGCTTGAGAAGGCTCACCCCATGAATTGGCTTCCCCTGGGTATGTTTGAGAACTGGGAGCTCTTTCGAGCTCACCACGGGGGTATTTCTCCCCAGTATACCTAGAGACGAGGGGAGCTTGGGAAGGCTCACCCTGCAATGATTCCTTCTTTAAACGCCCTTGGCTAAGGAGAGCTTGAGAAGGCTCGCCCCATGAATTGGCTTCCCCTGGGTATGTTTGAGAACTGGGAGCTCTTTCGAGCCCACCACAGGGGTATTTCTCCCCAGTATACCTAGAAACGAGGGGAGCTTGGGAAGGCTCACCCTGCAATGATTCCCTCTTTAAACGCCCTTGGCCTAGGGGAGCTTGAGAAGGCTCACCCCATGAATTGGCTTCCCCTGGGTATGTTTGAGAACTGGGAGCTCTTTCGAGCTCACCACGGGGGTATTTCTCCCCAGAATACCTAGAAACGAGGGGAGCTTGGGAAGGCTCACCCTGCGATGATTCCCTCTGTAAACGCCCTTGGCTTAGGGGAGCTTGAGAAGGCTCGCCCCATGAATTGGCTTCCCCTGGGTATGTTTGAGAACTGGGAGCTCTTTCGAGCTCACCACGGGGGTATTTCTCCCCAGTATACCTAGAAACGAGGGGAGCTTGGGAAGGCTCACCCTGCAATGATTCCTTCTTTAAACGCCCTTGGCTTAGGGGAGCTTGGGAAGGCTCACCCCACGGATTGGCTTCCCCTGGGTATGTTTGAGAACTGGGAGCTCTTTCGAGCTCACCACGGGGTTATTTCTCCCCAGAATACCTAGAAACGAGAGGAGCTTGGGAAGGCTCATCCTGCGATGATTCCCTCTTTAAACGCCCTTGGCTTAGGGGAGCTTGGGAAGGCTCACCCCACGGATTTGTCCTCCCTGCATGTTTTCGAAAAGTGGGAGCTCTTGCGAGCTCACCACATGGGTATTTCTCCCCTGAATACAAAGAAACTGGGGGAGCTTGGGAAGGCTCACCCACTGTAGAATTTTCCCAAACAGGTGTAGAAAAGGGATTATTCCATGAATCAATAGGGGGGAAAAACATTGAATGACTTTGCCAAAGCGTTTGATCGGGTTCAATTTTAAATTTATTTATATAGCCACTAGGTGAGGCAGATCTTGGTGGCTTTGGTGATACACCAGGCATCGAACGCTGGGCTCTGCGCTCAGAATGCTTGGAAGTATCTGGTAAGGGTAAAGTATCTGCCATGGCAAATTTCATGTCCTGGTCATCAAGCGCACGATGACCTGGGACAATTTCAGGGTCATCAAATGAACAGTCTGACCTAGACGTGGTCAATGGGGCTTGTTGGGCAGCAGAGGAAATACTCATAGTGACTGTTTTGTAATTGGGCATGTATTTGCGCTGAAAATTGGTAATGTTAGAAACAAAGAAACAAATAAAGCTAAAAGATCACACTAAAATAAAAATAAAATTTGAGGCATGTGTCAACACTTTCAAAGTATTATATACCACCACCTGGCACCATTTGTGAGGACCCTGGGGCAATAGTTAAATAATAACAATCAAATCACAGGGGAAATACGTTTAACTAAAAACAAAATCAGGGCCGTCACTTAATGGGGGGAAATAAATAATTAACAATTGGTAGCGTGACAAGTAAATATATGGGGGCAAATGAAATAAATACAACAACAATGAATGGTAGCGTGGAAATTTGGAAAGTAAATTGGAATAAGCGTAATTTAAATCAATGGTAGCGTGGAAGTTAAAATAGTTAAATTAAAGTGAATGTTCAATTTATATGAAAGGGCACTAAAGTGTATAATATGAAATGAATGAAGAAACAAATAGATTAAAGTTTAATAAATCTATTGTAATTAAAATAATACTCAAAAATACTAGTACAAATACAATATTACAAAAACACACCAGAATACATTAAGTGGCTTACCCATACTGTCGTTTCCTTTGTTCAATGATATCCAACATGTTTTAGCTTATGTCTAAAAATGTGAAGAAACCAAGTGTTCCTGTCAAGGTCCGGTGTTAAAGTGTCTCTTGACCAAAGGAAACAGACAGTTTATATTCTAAAAGTTGCCAAATTACCATATTATTGCACTGTACCTGGCCCTGGGACCAGGCACTGAACAAAGGGATGATTCTTACAGCTAAGGGATTATCTAAGAAAGCCAGACTGTAACTAATTGTCTATTCAAAAAGTTTGAATAGAGTTACAATGCAAAACTTTATGAAGGAAAAATGTGAAACGAAAATGTAACTTTGAATATTAAAACATGGAAATAACATTGCTATAATTAAAACTAAATATAATACATTGATATTAAGAAGGATTTAACACGATGACAAGTGATCAGAAAACAAGGGTATACCACCTTTGATCACGGGTCATCACAACACCAGGCCGATATAATGAGTTATTTACAAATTAACCATACTTTATTGTCATTTCACGCAATGTTGATTAAATAAATATATTCAGCAGCAAACTTAAAATTCATTATTCATTTGTTTAATTATAACTTGGAATCAAGCACTCGGATACTTTGTGCAAATTGATCGCGAAGTTGGAATTCTGTGCAAGAGTGGAGAGAGAAACTGGTGGTTCCCGCCTACTAACATCCTCCGAACACAGGGCTTCAAAATCCAGAATATCTTCTTTCTTTTTACCCCCTGCTATAACCAAGTTGGACGCGCCCGATTAAACTGAATCACGTGATCTTATTATGCGCCGATGACGTATACATGATTTCTGTCGCAGTGTTGCGACAGCCAATCAAATTGCGAATTCTTAATCGGGGAAATGCTAACTGCTTATAGCAGGGGGAAGAAGGAGGTACGGATTCTGGACACCTGCTTAGGAGGATGGCCTACTAAAGAATGTTCGCGTTGTAAGAACCGTGTTTCAAGAGATTCGCGAGGCCAGATCTGATGTAAGCGATAGTGGATGTCTAGGAGGAAGCCTGTGTTTGGTACTGTTTCCGTAAAACAAGTATGCGTGACGTTCAATAATGCATAATTCATTCAGATATTCCAAGTTTGTCTTAGAATTCAATTACCTCGGATTTTTTTCGTGTATTCAAAGTGTATCCATGAAAGACACAGCCATTGGAGCACGTTTTATAATATCATTGTGAACTTTGCAGTTGTATTAGAGTGACATCATAACAGTGCATTATGGTCTCATAAAGAACCGGACAGTTTCATTTTTAAATTAATATTTACTGGCAAAATGTTTTGTGTGTATTTATCAAATGTAAATCAAAATTATGCAGCAACACTGCCCTTTCTAAAATCTAATTACTGTTTTGTTGGCAGCCAACGAATATGAAAAGTAATGAAATTTGACGTCATCTGTTGTCATAATAATTGAAGAAAGTAGGCTTTATAGTCCGCCTACTTTTTTTTATTGACTCCCATTATGCTTCGCTATATAGTAGGTATGCACAGTAGTACACATAGCCTAAGATGTAAACATACGCATATAACCCGCATTGATTCAACTATTTGTATAGTTAGTCTCTAAAAAATCCATTTTGCACCATACTTCCATCTTTCTGTAGACCTTATTTCTATGGTGTCATGTCAAAGTCCACAAAGTCATTATTTATTTCTGCATGCATTTTTGCAATTTGTCAATGGAAAGATGGCATTGTGTAGCCCATGTGTTAACGAGAAGATACAGAAACTGCACTTTAATCTTTTCATAAACATTAGTATTCGAAGAAAAGATGTCGCCTGTGAGATCGATGTGACAATAACCAGCTGAAGTATGGATTGTGCACCCAAATACTTTTTATACAAGTTGCTATGAAGAGGACATGGCGGTATAAATATAATTGCACAACTCAAGAGCAAAATAGCAAGTTGTTTAATAACTAATTAACCATTTAATTAACACTTTGAAATAACAAATTATTCCACAGCTTTGCAGAATTGAATCTAATGACTATTATTCTTGGATGCGCGCGTGGAATTTGACATTTGGAGTGGCTACATCAAAATCCAAGATTACTTTTGAAAAGACAAATAATCAGGTCTCGAAATGGATTCCATCCAAAAGCTTTAAGCTTTCTAGAGTTTAGCTTGGTCAAATGCCTGGTTTCTTGCCGAAGTTCAATTTTTTTCAATTCAATTCAGCTTTATTTTCTTATATATAGTATTATTTACAAGGTTTTACATGACACCCTTGTAGATGTATACAGTATAAAGAATATGTTGTTTGAATAGTAGGTATATGATAATCAGCTGATCTAATGATGAACACTAACTAAGACTAACTAGTACAAATTCAAAAGAGGGCATCACAATAAATTTAAGTGTTGCTTGATATACTCAAAACTCCTAACTACAACTGACTTCCAACACGGCAACATGTTCACAGTTAAGTCAATACAATGATTCATTAAAAATATCAAAATTAAATCTTGAATTCATAAAAGACAATCAAAAGTAGTTCTAGTAATACATACAAACAAAGTATTACGCATCTGTATATTTGGAAATTATATACTTTTTAAAATCATTCCTAAGTTTGCATGATATTCCAGAGTGTCTGGGCTTGGCCCATAATTGATTTCTTAGCTATTTCTGATTTATATTATAGAAATTGGTAAACAATTGTTTTGGAAAATTTCTAGGTCTCTTTATGTAATAAACAAATACTGCTTTGTTGAAACAATTACGATAACGATATCATAGATCTTTAGTAAATTTAGTTTTTTGAAAATTGGATCAGAGTATTGCTGGATGTGATAAGAAGTCAATGTAAATATTTATTATAAAATTACATATGTCCGATGGTCCGGGAAAATATTTTTCTTGACATTTTCTCATATTCCACCATACCGTGTAAAACATGATATTTCAAACACCAATGCAAAAATTGAAGGCCACACTATTTAAGAAATGAAATGTCATATTTAACGTGCCAATTCAACGTTTAAGAACATCAAAATGTTTTGTAACCTTAGTGATGTCATCGTGACATCACTCAGGTGACAAAAACGTTAAAAAGTTTTTTTTCTAAATATGCTAGATTTAAAAAATAATCCAATTTCGATTGTTTAACCAGCTTCAAAAGGAAGAATATGTTTTAAATATTATTGTACCATTGGTTTCTATGAGAACTAAAATTTTGGAATGCATTTTTCTGAACCATTTTCATGCATGGATAAGTTCATTTCTTACTTATTTGTATGACCGATTTGCTTACTTTTTTTCGGCAAAAACAAGTGAGAATGAATGCTATGCATTGGTTGGTATGAATAAAAAAATCAAAAGATACGTGTGACCTTAAAAAGTTAGTTTTAACAAAAAGTTTTTCAAAAACCACTTTTTGAAATTAAAGAAAAAGGATTCACATATCACACTTTGATAACAATGCGTAAGACTACAATATAAGTCAATGTGATTTATATGGGGGCTTTAACCGTCATTTTGGACCCTTTTTCTGGTTATGCCTTGGTCACATAGGCTCCGATTTTCACTACGGCGCCTGGCCGATGAGTATTTTGTTCAAAATCGGCCGGCGAGCTCGGGCATCGTACGGGCGCCGGGCGATGATCGCCACTCATCGGCCGATTTTTAGACATCGTACGGGCGCCGGCAGAGTTTAATCGCGGAGATAAAAGTTGCCGATGTCTTGGCGATTTTTTCTCAACCTAACTCATCGGTACCTACCCGGCCGTGTCCCGTCCGGTCATCGTACGATTATCTTACGGCGCCCAGTGGCATCGCACGGTCATCTTGGGATTTTGCGTGCTGATTTGTTAGATAAATCTTAATAATGATTATTTAGAAAGTGATATAACGGTTTTAAAAATAATGAGGTAAGAAATTATAATTACTATACACCGTCGGGGATTTTTTTTATAAAACATAAATGGAATTAACGATTAGGCTCACTGTAAAACAATGACACACATTTGAATGTCTGGGTGGGTGGGTTGATCTAGTCGTTCTTATATTAACATTAATCGTGTATGTCTGTCATACACATTGAATAGAGTGATACATTTTTATGCGTATATTCACTCATGCATATACCATTACAAATCATTTATTTTAAAAATCTTCTGAATGTTTTTGTGATTACAGTATTTTCAAGGGTCACAATTTTAATACGAAAGTTCACTGTCTCAATTACAGTTAATATGCCAAAGACTAAGGATAATGGGGATAAGGCCAATGGGCCATATATGAGGAAGGCCTTGGGAAGACAGGTGGAAAAATGCTAGTGAGCTGGTGGATGATTAAGATTTAGATGTGTCGCCGGAAGAGGGTACTCCACTTGAAATAGAAGAAACAATTGCCAATTTCATTGAAGATATATTTTTTGACCAAACAAATTCTCTTTACGAGAACAGACAAAAGAAAGATGCAGAAATAGGGAATTTTGCTAATAGGATCGGATGGACAGGTAGACATAGTATTTGTTTATATGAAAGATCTAAAAATGAATTAAGGTCAGGGTGCACTTTGATGAAAAGACCACGTGCAGTATGGCAAGTGATTTAAGACGGTCATATCTTTCACCATGAGTACTTTCTGGGCATAAATACAGTGTTTTTATTCAAACAATATGTTTTCTTTCAATGGAAGTACCCATGATAGTAAAAATATCAATCAAACAATTTGAAAAATTATGAATAGGGACCCAATGTCGGCATTTCTTCTAAATATTGAACCTATTTACTCAAAAGAGGATCTTCTTTTTCTAATTTTTATTGCATGAAAATATTATTATCCTGGAAGTCCTGTCTATCGAAGTATTTCGTTTTCAAATCTTGCCATGTGGAACAGACATAGTGGGTCATACAAGAATTTAGTATAAATCCAGAGGCCTGTAGATCGACCGATGTCCTGGCGGGTGCCGTACGGCCATCGGCAGATAGCCTTGCGATACCCGTGCGATGTCTTTCAGATTCAATTGATTGCGGGCGCCATACGATGCCTGTACTAATGTGACCATACTCACGATTAGATCAAGACATCGGTGAAAAGTCACCGGCGCCCGGTCGATTTAGACATCGGCCGATGACTACTCATCGGCCGGCGCCCGGCGGCTTTGTGACCTAGGCATTATTAATGTCGATGAACATCATGTACTCTGTTAACACGTAGTTAACACGTAGTTCAATGGGAGAGCTAAGGTTGATAAACGTATAGAGGGGAGTGTAATACTGCTATTGTATACCAGTCACAAATGGAGCTTCTCTTACATTAAAGGCCCCGTGTTAATTACTTTTAAAATTAATGTTTCAAACCGTTAATAAGACATGAAAAATATAAAATATCCGATGATCTTTTGTTATATTTGCCATTTCCATCGACTGTTTATGATATGAAAGACGAACATAATCCATAACATGTTTGTAATTGTGTCAATCTTTATTCCGTCATTAAATCATTCATTATTGACATTCAAGTACTCCAAGATACATTTCAGTTTACATCCATTGGTAGTTTGTTTGCGATATTGTTCTCACATATTTGAATATAACCTAACCTAACCGGGAGACATGGGGTCCTAGTATGTATGGTTCCCTGAACCGTATCAGGGAGAATGTTGAGGGCAATATGGGGTTTTGCCAAGACTCAAAACTGAATCAATGGAATTATAGTGTCAAAATTATTTATAGCACAAAGCACTAATTTCTGGTCATTTTTCGAACATTTTCCAAGTCACAAGAGTTGTTACTGTTGAGGAACCAATGTCCGAACTTTTTCGCTCGTGCTATTTTGACTTCGTTACCAATGACATAATTGTTATTTAAAACAAGTGGCCGAGTCTCTGTTGAATAATTGTGTGATCGTAAATACCAAAGTCCGTCTTCAATGATATTAAAGTCCAATAATTTGTATTTTAGATTGTGTTGTGACACAATTATTTCATGTAAATATGTCTGATCATTAGACCCATCTGGTAGTTTTTTGTCGTCTGTAACATTTGAATATGTTTCCAAAAATGCATTTAGTTTGTCTATCACTTTTGTGAAAACAACTTGTGTAGCATTAGTTGGTTGTAGCAAGAGGAAGCCTCCTGCTATCCGGTTATTCCCTGAGATCTTTGCACCAACTATGTCATATTTTGACAGAGACTGAAGCAAAGGGAATGGAGAAGAAAACCACACAGCGTCGACCTCAAATAATAGGATTGTAACATTGTTTTTAAGCATCGAAAGAAGTAACATAGTCCGGGTTAACATATATCGTATATATCCTGCTTCCATGTACTCAACCTTTGTAGTAGAAAGCGAGTACATGACGGAGGTGACGTTTGGCCAATCACGTCGAAGTTTCTTCAATGCTTTTTCATCCGTGGCAATAATAAGCACTTGTTCATGAACATTCATATTGACAGTGTTACATAACCAACTGTAGGTCATTTCTAGATATGCTTCATTCACCATCGTCACAGCTACAATGCCCGTTTTAGCTTTATGACAAATCATTTTCGCCTGATCGATTAACATGGCTGGTTTATTTTGTTGCATTTCCTTATTTACTGTTGACTCAGAGGCAGTCTTTCTTGTGGTATAAGCAAGCTTTTTAATATTGTTCTTGAGGAAATTAAGTGCATTTTGTTTTTGCAACAGAAAATTAGACATCAATACACCGACAGATAGTCCTATCACTGCGACGCACAACTTTTGATTAGTGTTCATATCGATGTCTGGAAAATCTAAAACAGACACAGTAAAATAAAACGCTGTACAAAAATACCAAAATAATCATAGATAACACATAGATAAAAATACATGACATGGGCAAAAATGAATCGATTACTTTTTGAATGCAATAGGAATTAAGGATATACTAGTGTAACCTCCGAAAAAATCGACCATTTTCAATCTCAACGAAACTAGGTTTTTATTGTAGACCTAGATGTAGCGATTCGAAAAATGTAATAAAAAAGGTAGGTCAACGGATTAGTTTTTTCATAAGAAGCTTCAGAAAAAAGGTATGACGTTATCATCATTTGAACATTTGAGGCGCCATTGATTCCAAAGCAAAAAACATATTTTCCTATATTTTGTCGATAAAATGATGATTTAGAGAGTATTGACGATTTTTGTCGAGCCTAGATAAACTTCCTTTATACATAATTTCGTGGGTTCGAATTTTGGTACACTCAGGACATTATTTTTTACTTTTTTCACTTAAAGTGTTACCCCTACCCCAACAATATTTGTGAAATTTTGTAACGTTTTTCCATTAAAAGTTTTTTTTTCATTTTCGCAATTTGACACGTTTTGAATCGAAAATTACGCAAATTACCAATGGATTGTGGTATTTTTTTATTTGCTTATTCTGAAAAAGGTGTTCTCATGTTTATTTTGATATAAAAAAACATAGGGTCAACGGTCTGTTTTACGCTTGAAAATGCCGTTGAAGATTGGTGTGCTTTAACAATGATACAAAAGCCACTGGTCAATTCGCGTCATAATTTAACTAAATATATGACGTCTTTCTCAATAATTAACAAAATCGACTGCTCACAAAAACATAAACTAGCTAAGTCCACATGATAAATATCATTCCAAAATAATATAAATTATGGATAAATTGAGGGATAGATGCCCCAGTTAGACATTCATTCAATAAACGATGATTTAAAATGGCTAATTGTAGCCATATTTGACTCCTATTCTAATATGCTAATATTTCTGTTTATTTTTCGGGAAAGGACAACGTTACATTTGAGGTTATAACAATTGTGAAAATTCAACATGTCCTATCTTAATGAACTGCCTTCACAAGTATAACCTTACAGACCAGGCATGAATGATTTCACTCGTGATATATAGCATGCATGCTTTTTAATGATTTTCGGGTAGGTTTGTACATTCCCTGTGCATTCCCCACCCCGAGGTCCCCACTTATGCGAAGCTGTCGGATTTGAGCAAGACACGTCTGCTGCATGTACTACACAAATAATGTGTGAACGGCTACGGGCGTTTTTCGCATTGTATCCGGCATGTCCGATCATGGTCGTTAATACTGATTTGGAAAATATTTTTAACTGGTAACTATAATTATAAAAAATATAGAATAATAACATAAAGTGAACAAAGGTTTGAATGGCTTGTTTGACATGTTGGATGGTATTTGCTTTGACAGAATGGAAAAACGAAACAAAGTATATGATTTCAATAGAAATACATATAAATGAATGTTCATGCACGGACTTTAAGTGTCCGTGGTTCATGTAATAAGTGTATACATGAATTATAGAAATTCCAAAATAGAAAACTGTATTATACTGTTGCCTTTTAATATTAAACACCCCTGGTCAATACATAGGCTATATGTTTATATTATGTTTATGTATCTTTATTTCCACCTATGCAGATGAGTACATAATAATTATAAAGTTAATGTGGCAATATTAAAAATATAAAAAATATATATATTTACAACGCAAACTGTGTTGATTTAATAGTTTATAGAGTTATAGCTGTAGCTCTTGTTTTAAACACGTGTTTGACACTTAACATTATCTTCACATACATTCTGTAGTCTAATGCTTCATTTTTTCCTAGTAGGACCTCCATTTTTTTAACCTTATTATATTCATCAAATATCCTGTCACTCAAAACTGCTAACAAGTCACTCCTACTTTCATGAAGTTCAAGGCAATCTAAGAGAAAATGCCTTGCCACACAGAGGACAAATAGTGTCATAGTTGAGTGGAAAAGCACCAGTTAGCAGTTTTACCATATCCCTACACATCCCTATATATTTACAATTCGATTGACAAATTCTCCACCATACGCATGGTTTTATCGTAACTTGTATCGTTCTATAAACGCTAAGTCTGTTAGATATGTTACATAACAAGTGCCATCTGTCTTCTTCATATTGCTTTATGCATGGTTTAACGATCCGCTTCCACGCACATTTGGGCATCAGGTCATAATTCAAAAATATTCATCAATATATCGCCATAAATTGTATCTTGTCACAAGGTTCAAAACTGCATTTATTACTGAATAGTTTCTATACAGCTTTGAATGTTCAGAAATTGACTTCCATCTAAAGAACTCAATTATAAAAATCATTTTATACACACATGTGGTTGGTAAATTTAAGATGCACCACAGAAACATTAACTTTTTTGTATCTATGACCGCACGAATCCTCGACCAGCCCAGTTGTGCCAAAGAAGCTTCGTTATGCACACTACATGGCAATTGTTGAATACGTTTTGCTATTTGTCAATGTGTCAATTCAAGGGTATCATAATCACATTGTTTCAATGGCAGGGTATCCATACCGTATGTCATGGATGGTACCGATATGGACCAGTATAAAATAGAGGCCGTCAGTGGATTGTATTCGGAGTCACTGCTGAGAAGCCCCACCCCCGCGTTGATAGCCCTTCTAGCCTTTCCCATTGCATTATCAATATGTTGTTTCAAGTTACCACTTGTATTTAAAATGAGACCCACATGTGTGCATTCTCTGACATGATCCATTTTATCTGGTCCAAGGTGAAAACACAAGTCTTTGCGGCCCTGTCTCTCTTTGGTGCAAACCATCAGCGTTTTTGACTTCCCAGGGTGGAAGGTGAAACGCCATCGCGTACTGAAACGATATGCTACATGTATGTCCAGTAATGTTTGTAAGGACCTTGGGAACACAGCCATGAGGATCAGGTCATCGGCGTATGTGGGTGAGGTTACATTAATATTGCCGATTCTGCATCCAGCATTGCTCTGCTCGAGTTCCTTTAAGAGGCTATTTGTGAAACGCATATAGAGCATCAAACTACAGACACCCCCCCCCCCGGATGGACTCCCTGGTTAACGAAGAAAGGATCAGACATAGTTTTTCCCACTTTAACCCTGCATTGATAATCCGAATACCAAATTTTCAAAATTCTCCATATTTTCACCTTGAAACCTTGGTTAAAGAGTATGTACAACAACCCATCTATCCAGACAGAATCGTAACATTTTTTTAATGTCCAATGATGCTATATATGTATCACTACACCTGTCCGCATTATGCGCGACAGTCTACCGCACGACCATCGATGTGTGGATGCAAGAAGTACCATCTATTGCTGCCCCTTGCAGACAATATATCGGTTCAATGTTATTATCGGCCTTAACTCGTGCTATGTATAAATTTTCAAATAGTTTGCTAAAAATAGTCATTAACGTGATACCCACCCCTATGGTTATCTTTTTCTAAAATATCTTTGTTCCCTCCTTTGAATAACGTTATTAAGACCCCTATTTTAAAATAATCCGGAAAGAACTCATTTTCGATTATAGACTATAATGAAAACTCATACAGACTGCTCATACTAGACATTTAGCGAAATAAGAAGCAAGTTACAAATTAGGTTTGTTGTGTTTGTAATACAAGTACATGGGCACATACACATACAGTGTGTCCCAAAAAAGGAAACCAGCAATAGATTGCTTATTTCTCAAATATGAATAATAATAGGAACATTTCTTAGCTAACATCTGATAGGTTATGATGTCCTCTTTCTTATGATACCAAAGTTGTCTATTTTCCTTCACGTATGACTGAGTTATAAGGGATTTAAGTGACCATGTCGGAAATGAGTTTGTACCACTTTCAGCCAAGTCAATTTCACCATCATAACAAAGTGATAAGTAACAACAAACATCAGGATATCACTCTTTTACTCATTTATTCCAATTAAAATTACACATATCATATTTAACACCCCTTTTAAATCCCAATGTCCATTCAAAGTTGTTTTAACCCCAGTGTCCTTCAACATGACCCCCATTCCTTTCAATGCAAATGTCTGCCCTTGATCTCATCGCACGTACTGATGATGACCCAAAATATATCAAAACGAGAAATGTTGTGATAGTGTTCAGCATCGCGTCACATTTTTCGTTTTGAAATTTTCTTTGAATTGCCCTCGATAGCGTCTCACCTTTTACTTGGGTTGCTTAATTCTTTCTTCGTGTGTCCGTTTTCGATTTCTAAATCGCATCACATTTCTCGTTTTGATTTTTTCTTTCACTTTCTATTAATAGACATTTTTATAGTAATTTTTATATAATTTTAAATGTTTTGAGTACTTACTTAGTCTGTTACTCTCAGTTTCTCGTTTTCACAATGATTAATGTCTGTCGACTATCTCGACTACATATATTCAATTATAATTTACGTTTAGTTACTGAGTAACCGAAATGAAAAGTGGAGAAGCATATGACGGGGACTTGCGTACATTGTGGCAAGTGTTAATTTCTGTGATCATTAATTACATATTACAATTGGTTTATTAATGGAATTGTAGCCTACTCTGAATTAAAAAGAGTTATTTAATTTATCCAATCAGAGAATTGCTTAAAAATCAATTTATTTTCAATCGCATCCTTGGGTTATGTTTTTTTTCCCGAAAAATGCTTATTCTATCCAAGTGTGTGATACTCACGGGTAGTATCTGAAGCCCCGCTATGATTTAAAAGTCGCGAGCAAGTTCCCGCTGAAATCACGAGCAAAGTCCTTTTTATTTAGAACAAGTATATCTTCACAAACAATGACACGAAAGATAAATATTTTTACAGGTATGGAGGAAACGGGCGTCAATATGCACGTTAGCATACAAGAACTACGATAAACATACCTCATAATGAAGAGTGGATCAACATTGTGTGTATTGATAAGTTAGTTTACAATAGCATCTACTCTGGGGGCTGAAATACATCAATGAAGGTGTTCCAGTGGCACCGCTGAACTTATGAGGAAGCCCCGCTGAG